AGACCCCAAGTGTGATGCAATGATGAAATCAGCTCACAAAGGAGAATGCAAAAACACAATGAAACACAGGTTGTCCCATAAGATAAAGTATAACTTTAATATGCCACGCATTTCTGAGTTAAGCTGTATAAAGCGAAATGATTTATATATGTGCTGCTCATGATCCTAGATCATCTCTGAAATTTTTATTCATCTATCTCAAATAGTAAAGCAGTTATCTCACTTTGCCACACTAATGACTCACTCTGTATATACAGGGTGTTACAAAATTCAGTATCAAGATTTTAGGGGCGTATTTTTCAGGTCAAAATAAGACGTTTTGTCCATAAACATGTGTCCGCAAACGCTTCGTTACCGATCTACAGAGCGTTAAAGTTGAACAAATACACGATGAGACATCCACCAACTTTCAAATAATGTCAAATGCTTCAAAACAAACCTAAACGTCAAAATGAAAATAGCAGTCAAAGCCCACTAATTCGCTTTTTCATTGTTCCGTTGAAAATTTTAATTAAATGTAGCGAATCACAAAAACTGATTTTACTTTTTTCTCGATAACGATCGCAGATGCGTGAAAATTACAAGAGACAAAAAAATTTATAAACAAAACAAAGAATTCATTTCGTATCTCAGAATTCACCAGCGGCGCACCACAAAAAAGTTTATGGGGTAAAAAAGGGCTTGACCCCTGAAAAAAATATCTCCCTGTAGATTCTCACAATCACTTGGCATGCTGGATGATGTAAGCCCTAGAACGTAACCTACATTCCAAATTTGATCTGAATATCTCAAAAATTGAAAGAGCTATGAAGAAAAAAATAAAAAAATCTTGAAACTTTAACGCTCTGTAGATCGGTAACGAAGCGTTTGCGGACACATGTTTATGGACAAAAACGTCTTATTTTGACCTGAAAAATACGCCCCTAAAATCTTGATACTGAATTTTGAAACACCCTGTATATATATAATTTTTTTTTTGTTCATAATTATATCTGACTGAGAATGTTCCTTTTTAAATAAAGTTTTGTTGAATTTTTCTATGAGATTTTCTCTCCTTTCACTGGTCGAAACAATCCCTAGAAGTTCTGTATTCGATTTTTGTCTCACAAATCATAATGTTGACATCTAACGTTGCTTCTACTCGTTAAGATATCTGTTTGCTGACTGAACCAAAGCATCTATAGCCGAGGAAAAAGTGCAGTTTTCAATTGAAATGCCCGTCAGCCCGTCTCGGTGATAAATCCGTGGTCATTTCGGATTTCTTTGGCCAGTTTCCCAGCGCAGTTTTCACGGATTTCCATGGAAATACGGGGTGAGAACTACAAGCGCTGCTGCAGCCACCCCTAGTCGATTTGTTTCGAGCGATAAACACAGTTCCGGACTTTTTATTTCAATATATAGACCAGTGACATGAAGATTGACAGGAATGTCAGAGTATGCAAGGAACAGAAGAGATTTTTCTTCATGTTTCGTTCTGTAATTGAAGAAAAAAGAGACAGATATACTGTTTCACCCTACTAATACTACACACACTGGCACAATTATAGGGGAACGGGTAACATTTACACTAAGTTTGACATCAATTTTCTCACGAATTGTAGATTCATTCTTCACGAATACATCTGAGAAATAACCACCTCCAAACGATTCGTGTTTATATCATATACAGAGGTGTAAAGAAAGTACGGATTTTTCGGTATTCTTTAAGACATCCTGTGGAGTGAACCACTGATAATTGAAACGATTTTCCAACACCAAATTAGAGCCAATCTCTATTCCGAATATTTTCGTTTTTTATTCATCTTGATATCAAAATTATCCAAGAAAATATTGAGTTTCAAAGAAGAGGTGGATATTGGTATTAATTTTACCACCTCGAAACTCGAACAGGGGAGAACGTGTCGTTTTTCAACTTGTTTCTGTGAGGATTTTTACTTCAAGATGAGAATTGTTCACAGTTTTACCTATCGGTTTACAGTTTGAAGACACATATACAAATACTCTCATGAATATGTAGGGGTGATAAAAGTTGCTCCAATGTTCTTTTCGTGAAATTCTATTTTTGTTAATCAACGTTGGCTATTTTGTTAATGTCATTAATTATTGTCAAAATCAAGCGATTCACAATTCATAAATTTGATTAATGAAAATTCAACTTGAGTGATTCGACTCCTACTGATGTGGTGAGGGCTGTAGCATTAATTGAAAATGACCAGTGGGCCAATGTTCTTTTAACATATGAGAGCCGCATCTGCACCAATTCAATAGATGGCAGGGAAAGACTATATCGCCGAGGTGAACAAAATGAACAATTTGATTTTACTGCTTCTGTCTCCTATGGCAGAGGTTTAGTCATGGTTAGGTTAGGTTAGTCAAGAAACGACAAATTTTCAGATCCAATTTGAGTAAAATTGATACCGATATCCACCTTTCCTTTGAAACTCTGTATTTTCTTGAATAATTGAGATATTCGTGAAGAATGAAGCTACATTTCGTGGAGAAAAAAATTTGAATCGAGCGATCGGTTCGAAAGAAAATTGATGTCAAACTTAGTGTAAATTTTGCCCGTTCCCCTAATTGTGCCAGTGTGTGTATAAATGTGAATGTAAGTTCGTTTGTTATGCTTTCAGATTTATTAGAAAGAACATTGGAAAAATGTTATTCATGTGGTTGGACACAAAATATCGAACAATCGGACAGGAACATCAATACGTCTGTACCTTAGATATAAATTATTAGAATACGTCTTTTGAGACTCGTAAATCCCAGATTATTCAGATGCTGAGATGAAAATGACGAATATCTAAGCTGACAACAGGTAGGCACTTCGAAGGCGCAAATTCATTATTGCATAAGAGATATCCTTCAGGTTTTTTTTGCTATTCAGTGACTTGACCATGAATTACATTGACGTCCTAGTCTGTGGTCTGTGGGTGGACACAAAATATTCAACAATCAGATAGGAAAATCTATACGTCGGTACCTTAGATATCAATTATTAGAATACGTCTTTTGAGACTCGTAGATCCCAGATTATTTTGATGTTGGTATTAAAACGACAAATATCTAACCTAACAACAGGTAGGCACTTCGAAGGCGCAAATTCATTATTCCATGGGAGATATCCTTCAGATTATTTGCTATTCAGTGACTTAACTATGAATCACATTTACGTTTTAGTCTTTTGCGCAACCAAAATTAACAAATTCAATACTGCCTGAATTGGTGCATCTAGAGACAGGGGGCAACAAATAACCCATGCGGAAGTTTGTTGTTGTGATGGATTGAGCATTTTGGAGATTTACAAATCTACAGGGTGATAGGTTCTTGAAGGTATAGGCTTCTTTATCCCCACCCAAACTTTTTCGTACTACGCTCTCAAGTTCCTTCAAAAAAAGAAACGATTTAGAGATAAATAAACATATCCTTCTGAAATAAGTTGATTCCATCTCAGTTTTTCTCTAATGAATTTCATTCTTGGACAAAATTAGTTAACAACAATGGAAAACGCAAAAGATATAATCACATTCCGCAGCAAAATTCTTTCCCACAAGTGTAATGCTATTTTTTTTTTCAATTTTAACAATAGAAAGTATTGACCACACCAAAATCCACATTGATATCTTCAGAAGTGAGCGAAATATTTCAATTAATCAAAAAAAAAACATTATCTGACCCCCTGTAAGTATCTCCGTTACTGATCGGGGATTGGACACGTATTTATACACACTCTCTCATCAAAATAATGACATCTATCACCAATTTCTGTTCAAACTGATATAAACACCGTTTTTTTCTCCAACGCCTTATATCTCAGTAACGAAGCAACATGTGTTCATGAAATTTTATTCCTAAAACGACCTAACGAATCAAACTCTGAAGTTTCGTACTGTAGTAAGAAAATACCCTACCCTGTTTAGTACGAATCTACGTGTCTACGTGCTGAGAAATTGGATCTTATGATCCAATTTTCAATTAGTTAGTTATTCAATTTGCATATTTCAGTTTATTTCCTTTTCTTCTGCCAAAAATTACAATTGCTTTGTTTCACACCTTGAAAGAAACTGTTCCCATGAATTATTAAACACGTTTATGCAGCTTCTAAACTGACTCCCTTTCAACACCTTAACTCATCAACATTTAAACAGAAAAATTTCCTGTAAAGATCCGCGATAGAAAAGTGTGAGTATAGGGTCGGATGGCTTGTTTCAAAAGGAAAAGGCTATGGGAATCGACAATTAAAGACTCTAAAGGTTCTTCAGTTTATGGCTCATATATATTTCAAAAGAGGGAACTCCGTCATTTTGAAAAGGTTCTCACGATTTCATATGGGAAACCACATAATTCTTCAATATCGCTTTTCTGAAAGGGGCGATATTTCAGGTATTATCGTCACTAACACTGTGGAAGAAATTGAGGGCCAATTTCTAGCAAAACAATTTATAAGTTCTTCCCATGAACATTTTACTCCAGGCCAGTAGATTTCGAGATATACGAGGTATCAACTGATTTGTATCAAATATTTCACGCCTAAAACCGATAATGCAATTACGAAACACATCAATTAAATGCATTTTTCATCAACATTTTCCTGAACCAACGGCAAATTCATACAAACCTAGACATTTTCTGGACCTGATTTCAATACATCAGGCCATACTTATGGGACTAGACAATTGATATACTTGATAGCAAATACATTCAAGTCGAAAATTAGCAAACAATCTGTATTTCACAATGGAATAATTTTATACAATTCATCACCAAATGAGTTGTAAAATATACATGATACAAGAAGGTTTAAAATCAAACTTGCTCAGACAATTTGAATGAAAAATTTGTGGCATGATTTTATTATTCAGAAATGGAATGTTATAACTTCCATCTTAAGAAACAATATTGATTTGTCTCCAGACGTCTCAGATAGTCGATATCGTAGTCAAGTTTTTGGCGAATGCGCCGGTCAATTCTTTTGAAAAATGTTATTTACTCTCTTTCAGATCCATCCGTATTTCGAAAATAGCGTCCACAAAGCTTTCACGACCCACAATTCGAAGATCAAGAAAGACATGGTGAAAAACATGTTGAAGTATCAGGCAGAAGATGCTAGTGAGATAGGGGATCCGAAGAAACAAAGAAAGATGAGATGGTTCGTGAACGAAGGCAAAGGATATTCGCACTGCGTGTGAGAAAATTGAAGTGGATCGAGAAGTAACCATTTTCCTGATGATCATACAATGATTGAATTATTTCAACAGACAATAAATTTTCCTCCACTTTGTTCCCTGGCGATGGATCTAAATGCTGGGGTTTATAGAGCCTCGGGCATTACATTCATATTCAAATCATGACACGCGTCATAAGGGCTCGTCGATAACAGGAGGTCGACGTTGCCGATGCAAGATATTTTTCAACGGGTCTACCAAGAACAGTTGACCTTCATTTAGTCCTCAAGTCTGGAAATAGTACATTGTTTACCGGGTAGGAAAAGCTTAACATTCCTGGGAGACTGTGAAGATTGCTAGTCGAGGCGCAAGCCGAGACTTAGCAACACAGATTCCAGGAATAAGGCTTTTCCTACGAGGTAAACATACTATTTTTCCGAAAATCGTTTAAAATTCGACAGGTATTGATTGATTTTTAAAAAAATCGCGATAATTTTATTCCCAGATAAATGGTGCTTTGAAATTCCTGATAAAATTACTTGGGTTACTATGGAAACGTATAGAGGTTGAATTGTCAAACTTGACGCTTATAAATTTAATTGCTGGTGTTCTCGAAAGTGAAATGATAAGTGATGATGAAATTTGCATTCCTGATACTCCTCCAGAGCTGGTTGAGGCAGTGAATACTGCTTCATTAGAATTATTGCCAAAGAAATCAAGAAAAAAGTACGAAAATAATAATAAGCAATGTGTTTTCAATCATTTATGTAGAACACTAACAACTGTACGGAAATATCATTTCCTTACAGTAAGGAAATGACATTTCCTTATAGTAAGGAAGTCCTGACTTTTTCTTCAAGAAATTTTGACAGGAATGTCAAAATTTCCTAGCGATTTGCGGAAAATAATATTCTCGTGAACGAGTGCTTTCATTTCGCATTTTTTCACGATCTTCGTATTTTTGTCTGAAAAAACACCAATTTTATAATGGAAATGTGAGCAAACCACTACTTTTTATATGTTCTGGTTTCCACGGAAGGGATATCCTGTAATGTTCAGAGAAAATCGTGAGAACCAAGGGAAATAAGGTAGGAAATGGTGTTCTTCTTGAATTTCTGGAGGTTATATGCCTCGAGGAAAACCTCCCTTGGCAATGTGTTCCAGAGTCTCGCTGTTCGTTGGATGAACGAGTCTTTGGAAAGAGATATTTCACGAAAGAGTTCGAAATTTCACCTCTTGTTTTTTCGCCTGTTTTGAATATGCCTTCATTTTTCATCATTGGACAGATCTTATGTACGAGAAACAACGAAAATTTGGAAATTTTCATATTTAGTGGACATTCACACCAGCTGACGGTCATTCATTTATCAAAAACATGCACCCGCCACATTTTCAATCATTCACTGTTGCTTTGAAAAAGTGTCAACTATTTCATTGTCTGATTGGTTAGGGTGGTATCACCTAATTGCTATGGTTATACAGGGTGTTTCGCAATTCAACCGACAACGCTTGACAGCTGATAGCCCTCCTCGTAATTTCAATGTCACTGAGATCAAGATCTACGGTCTTCAAGCGTTCAATTCTCGAAATACAGGGTGTTCAAGTTGAATTCAATCTTTCTTGATTTTGCCAAAAAAAAAACTATATTTATTTCTCAACTTCAACATCCTGTATCTCGAGAACTGAACACTTGAAGACAGTAAAATGAAATCACGAGGCAATCACATGTCGAGCATTGTCGATCGAATTTCGAAACACTTATATAGACCAGAAAAATGCAACTTTCGTCCGGAAGTCAAATATACCGGGTGGCTACGGAAGTATTGCCTACTGAATATCTCAGTTATTGTATGATGTAGGTTTGTGAAATTTGGAGCGTCGATATAATGACATAAGAGCTAGAGTTTGAGCATATTGACATGTCGAAGTTAACTTCCGGCCTGACCGGAAGTAACATCAACTTTCTTATTTTGAATGGAAACCCTATTTTTTTTTCTTCTCGCTCTATTCATCCAATTCCCTTTCTAATGACATATCACAAGTTGGTATCTAACCAGAAACTAGATCAGGAAAAAATTGTTATTGAAATTCACCGAATAGGCCGTGGAAGCAAAATGAAAGCCAAAAATTGAAAAGTTGGCTATGGAAACCATACGTCACTTGATAACAGTTGCTACTACTGTGATATTTTATTTTCATTCGTCGGCGTTATAAAATGCCGCCAAAAAAATATTGGGAAAATTGGGAAAAAAACAATACTCTGTAGGTCCATAACTTAAATAGGAACATACAACTTTTTCTTGCCTGTACTATTCAGCATAACCATTCCTTTCTAATGATATAATAAAAAGTCATTTTTTGAAATGAAATACCAAAAAATCCAATTATTATTCTTCAAATAACAAAACAGATTATCGCCATACGCAAAAATGAAATTGAAAATAATAAATAGTTTCTGGTTAGATACCAACTTGTGATATGTCATAAGATAGGGAATTGAATGCTGAATAAAGCAAAAAGAAAAAAAAATAGGGTTTCCTTTTAAAATAAGAAAGTTGGTGTTACTTCCGGTCAGACCGGAAGTTAACTTCGACATGTCAATATGCTCAAATTCTAGCTCTTATGTCATTATATCGACGCTCCAAATTTCACGAACCTACTTCATACAATAACTGAGATATTCCGTAGGCAATACTTCCGTAGCCACCCGGTATGTGTCCCATTATTCATGGATCAAAAGGTCATTTCGAAGTAAATTAACCGTATAACATTTTCGTCAAATATTTCATATTACATGTTTGACACACTTTGTATCATCGAAAACTGCGCCACCCTGGAGCGAGAATACATGGTTCTCTATATACAGAGTGTAGAGTGTGTCAAACATGTATCAAGAAATATTTGGAGAGAATGAATCTCCATACTTATTCTATGTCTATGGACATCGATCAAGCATTTATTTTCACCCCAGTTTTTAATAGTTATTTTTGTATCTAGAGCGCGAAATGCTACTTTGGTGATCGAGATCTGATTTTTTTTAACAAGGCTCGACAACATTTTTTCTACAAACGTCAAAATATATGGTTCTAAAGTGAAAATATGCTCAGCTTGATAGAAAAAATAGTGTTGAAATGGCCTTAAGGGCCTCCCCCTATCCTCCCTAGGTACGCACGATGTTCCACGAACATAATAGGAATTTTCTTTCGTGCGCTCCAAGAGATGAAACAAAGTTGTTGAACATTCAGGAATAAATGAGTTGGTGGATGTTTGCTCGATTGAGGACCATAAAGTTGAAATATATATATCTCATATATTTTACATAACAATGCGCGAAAAAGGTACTTCGCGCACTGTTTTACTTCGCGCATTGTTTTGTGCAAGGTATCATGGTAACGTAGGAACCTGAAAAAAAGTGTCACTTCGCAATTTGTTGTCAATGCGCGAACCTTGTCATTTTTTGACGTTTGTAGAAAAAGAAATTTTTTGGCACAAATTGATGCAATAAATTGGTATTTATTTTTTTCTATGGGAATGAAGAAAACTTTAAGAACAATATAGGAGACCAAAAAGTTGTATTTTTAGTTGGTCAATAGGTCATGGAGATAAAGAATTCAAAAAAATCAGTGGCGCACATTTTATTGACAATAATATTCGCTAGGTTGCCCCCTGGGACGCCACCGACTTCCATAATTCCGATTGAATTATCGCTATATCAGCCCCTCATGACAAGAAATATCATTGCCAAATTTCAAGAAAATCAGTGGAAGGACATTTGAGATATTCATAAAAAACCGAACATTTTTAAAAGTTTTTACACACTGTATGTTGAAAACTATGCATTTCCGGACCCACGTACATATAAAATGAAATTCTCATTTTATTATGTAGAATCACCCCCATGATTTTTTGCGCCTAATTTCCGGACACCCTGTAGATCCCAACATGGAAATGAGAGAATTAGAGGTGGACACTTGGCAACCCTGTTGTTGCATAACAAAAGGCAGCTGATGGACACCAGCTTAGGTGGTGTGGGGAGGGGGTGAAAACGGCTTTTCCGCTGCTTGAATGTTCGATTTGTCGTGTAGTGGCACGAGTGGTCCTCCACATCTGGAGTATTTTAGGTCTTTACGGCTTTGAGTCATAATCCACTCAACAGGATTTTTTATGGCCAGAAAAAAATTCTAGGCGTTCATAAAAAATGAGATTCATGTGCCTAGTATTCAAGTAGTGATATTTTCATATGTATCAGAAGTGGGGGTATTTTTCCATAAATATTTCGCGATTGTTACGACAGCTTGTTGCCTAGTAATTTCGCGAATGACTCTGTTTATGACTATTTTAGTCATCTCATATTTTATCTGACCAATCACAAGCCAGAGACAACGTATGTTATCGCGAAAACAGTAGCTGTCTTTCAATTGTGATTGGTCTATTAGCGTTTATGTTTTCAACGATGTAACCATGGATAGCGAAGCAAAGTCTGGATGTAACCATGAATAGCGAAGCAAAGTCTGTTAGATTGGCATACAATAATTATGGTTGTACTTGTCAGAATGAATCACTCATTTTATATATATAAATGCTTCTATGCTTCGTGAACGTGATATAGTCTTACAAAATACGGATGGGTCTCGTGCAGGGAATCTTACTGGTGCTGGCGTATACGGGCAGAACCAAGACTACGAAGAGTTTCAACACCTTGGACAATTTGCCACTGTATTCCAGGCTGAGGTTTTCGCCATCCTTGCCTGCACACATGAAATCACACGACGCCCACATAAGAGGCAAGCGTATTTCCATCTGCTCCGACAGTCAGGCCGCTCTCAAAGCTCTACGAGCACCAAGAGTGGTCTCTCGGTTGGTTTTAGATTTTTTTTATCGCTTGGAGCGCACGAGAGGAAATCCCTATAATGTTCAAAGAACATCGTGCGTTCCTAGGGAGGATAGAAATAGGAGGTAGGTATTGGAATTTTTTTTGAACTTCTGGAGATTATATGTTGTTGGGAATACTTCCTCAGGCAATGAATTCCAGAGCCCAGCCGTTCTATGGATGAAGGAGTTTTGATAAAGTGCTGTTCGGCATCTCTCGAGGTTGACAACGAAAGGATGTGCTGAC